CCAGAGAAAATCAATTCCTTTTTTTTTTTTTCTTTTGGAAACAGGGTCTCACTCTGTTGCCCAGGCTGGAGTGCAGTGTCACAATCACAGCTCCCACTGCAGCCTCAATCTCCCAGGTTCAAGCAATCCTCTTATGTCAGCCTCATGGGGTGGCTGAGGACTATTAGGTGTGCACCACACATCTGGTGGATTTTTTTTTTTTTTTTTTTTTGAGACGTCGCGAGTCTTTTGCTCTGTCGCCAGGCTGGAGTGCAGTGGCGCCAACTCGGCTCACTTACAAGCTCCGCCTCCTGGTTTACGCCTATTCTCTGCCCCAGGCCTCCCGAGTAGCTGGACTACAGGCGCCCGCCACCTCGCGCCTGCTGTTTTTTTGTAACTCTTTTTAGTAGAGACGGGTTTTCACCGTGTTGAGCCAGGATGGTCTCATCTCCTGACCTCTGTGATTGGCGCGGCGCCGGTCCCTTCTGGAGGCTGGAAGTCCAACATCAAGGTGCCAGGGCAGGGTGGGTTCCTCCTGAGACCTCTCTCCTTGGCGTGCAGAAGGCTGCCTCTGGCTGTGTCCTCACATGGCCTTTCCTCTGTGTGTGCACTCCTGCTGTCTCTTCCTCTTCTTTTTTATCTTGAGATGAGTCTCACTGTGTCGCCCAGGCTGGAGTGCAGTGGTGCGATCTCAGCTCACTGCAACCTCCACTTCCAGGGTTCAAGTGATTCTCTTGCCTCCCTAGTAACTGGGATTACAGGCACGAACCACCATGCCTGGCTAATTTTTGTATTTAATAGAAATGGGTTTTCCACTATAGTTAGGACCAGGCGATCTCGAAACTCCTGACCTTGAAATGATCCACCCATTTCGCCTCCCAAAGTGCTGGGATTACAGGCGTGAGCTACCGCGCCTGGCCTCCTCTTCTTACAGACACCGTCCTATCTAGAGTTGGAGCCCCATCTTACAACCTCATTTAATCTTTTTTTTTTTTTTTTTTTTTTTTGAGACAAGTCTCACTCTGTTGCCCAGGCACCATCTTCCGGCTCACTGTAAGCTCTGCCTCCCGGGTTCTGGTCATTCTCCTGCCTCAGCCTCCCGAGTAGCTGGGACTACAGGCGGCATGCCACCATGCCCAGCTAGTTTTTGTGTTTTTAGTAGAGACAGGGTTTCACCGTGTTAGCCAGGATGGCTGATCTCTGACCTTGTGATCCGCACAGTCTCGGCCTCCCAAAAGTGCGGGATTACAGGCGTGAGCCACTGTGCCCCGCCACGCCGGCTAATTTTTTGTATTTTTAGTAGAGACGGGGTTCCCCATGTTCGCCAGGCTAGTCTTGAACTCTTAACTCAAAGATCCACCGGCCGCCTCAGCGGATCCAAGTGCTGGGCCATACAGGTGAGGAGCCACCAAGCCCTGGACAGGTAACTATTTTTAACCTACTTAATCATCTCTTTAAAATTCCCTTCATCCAAATGGTAGGGCTCACACATTAGAATTTTGGGGACTATAGGGCGTCATTTGTGCACATAACCTCACCCAAAAAGAGTTTGGTCTATTTTCGCTTCAGTGGGTATCAGGAAAAAAGAAAACAGACGAGAGAGAGACGAGCTTTTGTGGCTCAGAAAAGGTAAGTGGGATCAGATTGGCCAACATATACCAGAGGGAGGACATGGAACCAGGACGAGGCCTAGCTGAGAAGTTCTCCACTCGAGCAGTCTCCTGGGGCTCGGGGGTAGGGTTTAAGCAGGCAGTGGGCTGCCTGGGCCACAGGACCCACCTTTAATGGGAAGCCTGGGATACTCCCTTTGCCCTCCTTCTTTTTGTTTTTTTTTTTTTTTTTTTTTTTGAGACGGAGGTTCTTGCTCTGCTCAGGCTCGAGCTGAGTTGCGAGTCCGGATCGTCAGCTCACTGCACAGCCCGCCTTGCGGGTTTTACGCCATTTCTCCTTGCCTCAGCCTCGCGAGTTACTCGGACACTACAGTGCACCCCCACGGCGCCCGGCTAATTTTTTTGTATTTTTTTAGTAGCACGACGGGGGTTCACCGGTTAGCCAGATGGTCTCGATCTCCTGACCTCGTGATCCGCCCGTCTCGGCCTCCCAAAGTGCTGGGATTACAGGCTTGAGCCACCGCGCCCGGCCTGCCCCTTCCGTATCTCCACTCTAGGGTGCATCCTGGTGTGCTGCTAGCTGGCATATGCACGGTGGGTAGCAGTCCTATGGGTGCCTGGGGGCAGTGCCCTGGATCATGCCTCCACCACTCCCCACTTTGTGTCTTGGACAGCTTGTTGAGGAATTTCACTCTGGTGACCCAGCACCCAGAGGTGATTTACACAAACCAAAATGTTGTCTGGTCGAGATTTCAAACCATCTTCTTCACCATCTCTGGTCTCATCCGTTATGCACCAGTGTTCAGAGACTATGTCTTCCGGAGCATGCAGGAGTTCTACGAGGACAACGTGCTCTACATGGAGATCAGAGCCAGGCTGCTGCCGGTGAGCCCAGCTCTCCTCTCCGCTCCTCCCACCTCCTTTGCTCTGGCCTGACTCAGATCTTAGCTGGTAGAAGACTGAATGCTCATGAATTGACCACCCAGGTCTCTGGTGCAGGGGGTCATGTGCCTTTCCAGGGGCCACCATGAGCAAGGAGACCTGAAATGGACTGGGCAGTCTCCAGCAAAACCGGGAACACATCCCGCGTTGCCCTTTGCCCCCTGTTTCTCATGGTTCCCCATTCTCCCCTCTGCCGTGATACCCAGGGCCTTGTGACACGAGCTGAGAAGGAGGAGAACTGGGATAGAGCCATCTTAGGGGCCAAAAGAAGGGGTTTCAAAAATAAAGGGAGCCACATGGCAGGGTGAGGGCAAGAAACATGCAGATGGATAATCGCCCATGAGATTTGAAAATTACAAGGTCACCTTTGAGCAGTTTCAGTAACATGCTGAGAAGAGAAACCCCATTTCTGGGAGTAGAAAAATGAAATACATGGCTGGGCGTGGTGGCTCACACCTGTAATCCCAGCACTTTGGGAGGCTGAGGCAGGCAGATCACAAGGTTAGGAGATCAAGACCAGCCTGGCCAACATGGTGAAACCCCATCTCTACTAAAAATACAAAAAATTAGCCGGGTGTGGTAGCAGGAACCTGTAGTTCCAGGTACTCAGGAGGCTGAGGCAGGAGAATCGCTTGAACCTGGGAAGCAGAGATTGCAGTGAGCCAAGATTGCGCCACTGCACTCTAGCCTGGGTAAGAGAGTGAGACTCTGTCTCAAAAAAAAAAAAAAAAAAGAAGAAAAGAAAAATGAAATACAGGTGATGAATTGGAGCCAGGTTTGGCTGATTAAAGGCTCTGACTGTGATTTGAGAGAAAGAACATTGAGATAACTGGAAGGAAACACAGGGGCCACAGGTTTCTTTTTAGGATGGAGAGACTTATTTTGCACCCAGAAGGAAGAAGTGTGGAGAGGTTAAAAAGAGAGGGGCAGGCGCATTGGCTCACGCCTATAATCCCAGCACTTTGGGAGGCTAAGGCTGGTGGATCACTTGAGGCCAGGAGTTTGAAACCAGCCTGGCCAACATGGCGAAATTCTATCTCTACTAAAAATACAAAAATTAACTGGTGGCTGGGCAAGGTGGCTCACGCCTGTAATCTCAGCACTTTGGGAGGCCGAGGTGGGTGGATCACGAGGTCAAGAGATCGAGACCATCCTGGCCAACATGGTGAAACCCTGTCTCTAATAAAAATACAAAAATTAGCTGGACGTGGTGGCGCATACCTGTAGTTCTAGCTACTTGGGAGGCTGAGGCAGGAGAATCACTTGCACCTGGGAGGTGGAGGTTGCAGTGAGCAGAGATTGTGCCGTTGCTCTTCAGCCTGGATGACAGAGCGAGACACCGTCTCAAAAAAAAAAAAAAAGAGAAAAGAAAAGAAAAATATTTTGATTTTAAGGAAGGAAGTTTGGAGAGAGTGAAATGGAAAGGAGTAGAAAGACTCCAAAAGAAGGGAGCATCATCAAAAAATATCTGATTTTTGGGTCTTGCATTTTGGCCAGAAGCAAACGATAACTGAGGTTAGATACTCTGAGATGGACTGACCCCAGGTTCCATGTTGGTGGGGAGGGATGTTTCGAGGACAGCAGTCCTAGGTGCTCACATACTGCTAGAGATTTATTTCAGTGAGTTTACTGGAGAGAAGTTTCCTGAGGATGTTTTTGCTGGGCTGAGGGAGATGGGGTTTTGTGGGAGTGGGCAGGATCCCTGGGTGTTCTATGTGGTGAGCTTATAAGGGTTTGAACTGGTTAAAGGTTTTCGGTGGCTTGGAGAAAGTCACCTTTGGTGAGTCTTCTCCACATTGTATCCAAGATAGTCTGCCTGTTCATTTACATATTGATCAGGTACACGAATGCCTTGGGGATTGACTGTTAAGCTTGTGGAAAGGCCCACTCGGTGGCAGTATTTTAGTTTTGCATATTCTGTAGTCATTTATAGGCTCCAAAGTTTATCGTTTGTAGACCCAGACGTGATAGGGCACCGCAGGATCAACACACACTGAACAAATTCATAAGGGATAGATGTGTAAACAAGAAAGTCAGAATGCTGTTATCATTCGGACCAGACACTTATGCTTCATCAGGAAATTCTCCTCTTTTCTTTTCTTTCTTCCTCTATTTTTTTGACAGAGTTTCTCTCTGTTGCCCAGACTGGAGTGCAGTGGCGCAATCTGGGCTCACTGCAAGCTCCGCCTCTTGGGTTCACGCCATTCTCCTGCCTCAGCCTCCTGTGTAGCTGGGACTACAGGCGCCCACTACCACGCCTGGCTAATTTTTTTTGTATTTTTACTAGAGACGGGGTTTTACTGTGTTAGTCAGGATGGTATCGATCTCCTGACCTTGTGATCTGCCCGCCTCGGCCTCCCAAAGTGCTGGGATTACAGGCGTGAGCCACTGTGCCCAGCCTTTATGCCTGGCTAATTGTTTGTATTTTTAATAGACGGGGTTTCACCATGTTGGCCAGGTTGGTCTTGAGCTCCTGACCTCAGCTGATCCACTTGTTATTCCAGTTATTTCGCCGTTTGGTAGATGTTATCAAACATACTCACCTATATGCACTTAGCATACTGGCTGAACAACCACTTTTATCGCTTAGTTTTTTTTTTTCTTTGAGACGGAGTCTCGCTCTGTCGCCCAGGCTGGAGTACAGTGGCCGGATCTCAGCTCACTGCAACCTCTGCCTCCTGGGTTCAAGGGATTCTCCTGCCTCAGCCTCTGGAGTAGCTGGGATTACAAGCATGCGCCACCATGCGCAGCTAATTTTTGTATTGTTAGTAGAGATGGGGTTTTACCATGTTGGCCAGGCTGGTCCTGCACACCTGACCTCAGGCGATCCACCCACCTCGGCCTCCCAAAAATTACAGGCGTGAGCCACCATTCCTGGCCTTTTCCTTAGGTATGTTAATACCCTTGGTGAGTTTAGCGGCAGGGCTCGATCCTGGAGAGAGTCTGATCTGTTGTGTGGTCTGCATGTCTCCACTAGGATCTGTTGCCTGTTTTCTATTTTAACTGAGTGCAGTTATATTTCCATTTCTGAGTTCTTTAGAAGTGGGAGGGGAACATTACCTTTCCCTCTCAGTGGAGCTTTCATCAGTTTTGTGGACAGAGCAGACAGATAAGACACAGTACACAAATCATCCTTTTAAAAGAAAAGAGAGGGTCTCATCTTTTATTGAGAAAAGAACTTCTGAAAAGGGAGGCGCTGGCAAAAATTGATGACCTAACTTTGCTCCTGGCCTAGGTAGGCTGAAAGAAACTGCACTTCCTAGAGCAGGTGATTCTTGTGTTTGTTTCTTTGTTTGTTTTTGAGAGGGATTCTCTGTTGCCCAGGCTGGAGTGAAGTGGCGTGATCTTGGCTCACTGTAACCTCCGCCTCCCGGGTTCAAGTGATTATCCTGCCTCAGCCTCCCGAGTAGCTGGGATTACAGGTGTACACCACCACACCCAGCTAATTTTTCTATTTTTAGTAGAGATGGGATTTCACCATGTTGGCCAGGCTGGTTTCGAACTCCCGACCTCAAGGGATCCACCCGCCTTGGCCTCCCAAAGTGCTGGGATTACAGGCGTGAGCCACTGCGCCTGGCTAATTTCTATTTGGAAGCCTCTCTCCAGGGCTGGACTCCAGTCCACCGAGGCTCACCCTTCTTTCCTGAGCAGTTTCAGCCCCGCCCAGCTGGCAGGTCAGCAGCCCCTTCCTTCGTGCTTTCTGGGACCATGGCTTTCCACTTCCCTCCTTCCTTTGTTCCCTATAATATTTCTTTTCAGTAGCCTGAATGCATTGCTTTGTGTTATTTATGCCATAATGTATAAGCCTTGATTTTCCAGCTAAATTGTGACTTCAGACCAACCCAGATCTTACATAGCCTGGTATCCCAGTAGGCCCCAGTAGTGGTCATCAGGCATGTAGATGGGGGTTCTCAAATATTGGGGTGCATATGAAGAATTTGGAGGTGCCGTTTAAAATCAGGTATTGGCCACCGGGTGTGGTGGCTCATGCCTGTAATCCCAGCACTTTGGGAGGCCGAGGCAGGTGGATCGCCTGAGGTCAGGAGTTCGAGACCAGCCTGACCAACATGGAGAAACCCTGTCTCTACTAAAAAAATACAAAATTAGCCGGGCATGGTGGTGCATGCCTGTAATCCCAGCTACTTGGGAGGCTGAGGCAGGAGAATCGCTTGAGCTGAGGAAGCGGAGGTTGCTGTGAGCTGAGATCGTGCCATTGCACTCCAGCCTGGGCAACAAGAGTGAAACTCCGTCTCAAAAAATAAATAAATAAATAAAATCAGGTATTGGATGCTGACCTCCCAGGTTCGAATTCTGTGCTGTCTGGTAGGGTCAGAAAGCTGTAAAAATAACTAGCACCCCTCTCCCAGCCCCCTTCCTATGGATTCTAATGCAGTTGGCCTGACCCAGACCACACTTTGAGGATTCCTGCTTCACCTTGACTTTTTTTTTTTTTTTTGAGACGGAGTCTCACTTGGTCGCCCAGGCTGGAGTGCAGTGGCTCTATCTCAGCTCACTGCAAGCTCCGCCTCCCAGGTTCACGCCATTCTCCTGCCTCAGCCTCCAAGTAGCTGGGACTACAGGCGCCCGCCACCATGCCAACACAAATAAAATTTTTTGTATTTTTAGTAGAGACGGGGTTTCACCATGTTAGCCAGGATGGTCTCGATCTCCTGACCTCGTGATCTGCCCGCCTTGGCTTCCCAAAGTGCTGGGATTACAGGCATGAGCCACCGCGCTCGGCGACATTTTTTTTTTTTTTTGAAACAGAGTTTCACTCTTGTTGTCCAGGCTGGAGTGCAACGGCGTGATCTCGGCTCACTGCAACCTCTGCCTCCTGGGTTCAAACAATTCTCCTGCGTCAGCCTTCCAAGTAGCTGGGATTACAGGCATGCACCACCATGCCTGGCTAATCTTGTATTTTTAGTAGAGACGGGGTTTCTCCA